CACTAAGGGTTTTTTTTAAATGGTGTATTAAATGAAACACTTAAAAAAGAGGCAAAACTAAAACAAAATAAGATTTGTCACAGATCTTTCCTGAAGCTCTATTGATGCCTTTTTCCAAACTGATTAGGACTGAAAACCGTTTCTGCCACAAATAGTTACACTAATATATGAGGGTTAGTTAAATTCACTTTATTTCTCAAAAAACTGAGAAACATGCACCATTATTCAATTCAGTTTGGTCCAAATGAGCTTTTTCATTTCTCAAAACAAATGTCCTCTCAAGGTATTTTACAAAGCCGTAATATTTAATGTATAAAATACATTCGTTCAAATTCAAGCCACATGCTAAGTTGTAAAAGTTTCTAACATAAAAAAACACATATTCCAAATGTAAGAGCATTAATTTTAACTTCAGATATAGATATAAAAAAATTTAAACCATCATTTTTCTTTATTTTCAGGACCCTGCAGGACTTATGAGGAACATGTGGTGTAATATTCAGCTTTAGAGGCGATTTCCTTTTGAAGTGACTCCACCGTCTGCAGCAGCTCGACCACCTCCACTACCTTTTCCTCCTTCGTCTGGATCAGCAGCTGGATCTTCTGCTCCAAGTCTGCCAGAAACAAACGTACAGGAAACATCAACTCAGCTCTAAAACATCTCGCAGAAACCAGATTCAAACATTCAGAACCCAAACAGAAAAACATCAGGGTCATTCGGACTGCAGGGAGCAGCTTCCTTTTCTCACATGCAGGAATTAGGATAAGGGCCAGAACGAAGAAAACTCTTTTGTTTTTTTGAGGAAGAACCGTCTCACTGTCCTGCTCAGGATGAAATTTTGTCGTTCGCCTAAATTACATAAACTGTTATTGTGTCTTGGGTCTATTTCTTCTACTCTGTTTCTTCTGTATCAGCAACATTTACCAGAAAAAAACTAGTAGAAAACTAAGAAAGGAAAAAAAAGAAAAGAAACATCCTTGGTAAGTGAGAACAAAAAGATCTAATTTTGCTCTTGTGAGTTGGAAAATATATTCAATCTAATGTTTTTTCAAGTAAAAGTAAATCTACATTTTACATCAGGTCCACCGGGGCCTGGTGCTGATATCCACAGGTCAGGGTTCACCTGGACAGGTCACCAGTCCATCAACACACTGAAGCTTTTTCCAAAGCAAACATCGAGACAGCCTCACACTCCTTTTAGTGTTTAGGATTTTTTTTCTACGTCTAACCTGTTCAGTGTAGCATTTGTAAGCTCCTATTCTGTGCAGGGCATTAATAATCCCACAACAACTCTTAGTCTGATGGTTATAACCTTCTATCTGTTGGAGTCTGTCCTCCATTTGTCTCTGCATGTCTTCGGTCTCCTTCAGGATTTCCTGCAGTCGATCTGCGGCTTCGTCTTCAAGTGTTTTATTCAAGTGTTTCTGCTTTAAGAGCTCAAACTGCTCCTGAACTTCTTGCAGCTCCTGTTGGGAGAGAAAAAGTCTCAGAAATCTGGTCAAACCCAGCAGCAGCAGCAGCTGCTGACAGTTTTCAGACTTTACCGCGTCATTAGAAGCGTTGGTCAACGCTGACTCAGCAGTTTCTCTGGCCTCTTTGGCCATCTCTCTGTTCTGCTCCGTTTTATTTTTCAGAGCTTCAATCTCCTCCAGCAGACCTACAGGCTGGTTCATCAGCTTATCCTCGATGCGGTTCAGTTTGTTTCCCGCCTGAAACATGGCAGAGAAACCATCAGTACCAGTCAGGCTGAGGCGATTACTGTAAAAAAAAAAAAAAGGAAAGTTTGAGCCTCACCTCTTGGATTAGGTCTTCGGCGTCGTCTCTGTCCTTATTTGCAACCTCCAGGTCGTCGTTGGCTTTGCTCTGAGCTGCGTCTGCAGCAATAATGTCACTGACGATGTCTTTAACGTCGATGTTTTTAGTTTGCTCCCTGTTAAAATAAAAAATAAAATAAATAAATAAAAACGGTTTCTGAAAATAATCTCGTTTTCAGGCACCAACTTGGCTTCTGTCGCTTTCTGCAGAAGCTCCTGAGCTGTTTTGGCTTCATCCTGCAGCTTCTTCAGGTCCTCCTGGAATTTGGTGGCATCGTTCAAAAGATTACTGATCTCATTGATCATCGACTGGATCTCAGCAGGTGATCGCGGCAGCTGGATCCTCAGGACAGCGTTGGCCATTTTCTCAATGTCACCTGGAGGAACCATTTCATCTGCCAGGAAGGAAACAGGCAGAGATGTTTCCCACAGCAAGATGCATCACTCTGGTACATTTTTAGAGGACGGTAGGCGTAGAGCTGATCATTTAATGGTTGGATAATTTGGTCTCCTAAAAGAACTGACGTTACGCCTGTGAACACTGACCCATCAGATACTGTTTGACTCTCTGGAGCAGCTCTCTGGTTTGGTTTTTCTCTCTCTCCAGTGATTCGGTGGTGGCGCTGATCTGGCGCTGCAGGTCTTGGGCCTGGTCTTTGGCGTCCTGAGCCACTTGCTGGACATCACTGATCTTAAACGGTCAAAATAATAGAAACACCTCTTAAAACAGAACAATCCTCAGAGAAGACTCACTAACTAGTCTACATCAACCGTTTACCTGCAACAGATTTTTCAAAGTATCTTTTCTAACTGGACTTAGTAAAAGTTCTGGCTTGGCGCTCAAGCTTTCCCGCCATCAGTTTTTCTTTTTCTGTTTCTATCAGTTCTGGGGATCCTAAAAACTGTTTTTGTCTTGGCAGAAAGTCTTTGCAGCTCCAGAGGAAGTAACCATTTTAACGAGGACTGGGGTGTTTCACTCCTGGAGACTAACAAGCAATTAAAATGCTGCTGGGTAAATCTGATGTTAAACTGTTCAATTTTAGGGCAAGTCAATAAAAACTTGAACTGTAGGCAGTTTTAAACGGGTCCCAAGCCCAACACGGCAAGTTTTCCCGTCCAGGGTAATATTCCTGCCCAGTTTCTCACAAGTCAACCAAGTTGGGATTTTGTAGAACAACACTGATTCCTGAAAGACTTGGCTACAAGAATGCATTGAAATCAGTTTTAAAAATTCTTAAAAAAATGTTTTCAAATAGCCATGTCTATAACTAGAACAATATAAATCAATGCACTTAGACTTAATGCTTTTTTTAACCAAAAAATGTTAAATGTCATTTCAACAACATCTGCAGTACCAACCTAAATTCACACATTTTGTTTAAAATTCATAGTTTCTGATAAAATTCCTAAAATATTCTCAGAATATTGTCTCTGCATGTCTTCGGTCTCCTTCAGGATTTCCTGCAGTCGATCTGCGGCTTCGTCTTCAAGTGTTTTATTCAAGTGTTTCTGCTTTAAGAGCTCAAACTGCTCCTGAACTTCTGTGTTTACATCTGGAATAATATAAAATGATGTGCACTTACCTGCATCGAATGCTTTTTTAATTAAAATGTTTTACTAAGATAGAGCCACAAATAAAAGTCATTTTATTATAAAATTCCCACAGGAACCAGCTCAGTGGAGAAACCCTCCCAGTGTTCCCAGCGTAAGCTTGCCTTTTTCTTCGACTCGTCCAGGTTGGATGGGAATTTGATGAGTTGCTCTTTTACTTTCTCGGCCATCTCAGAGGCTTTCTGGGCGTCGGGAACAGCTCCATCACAGATCTGACCTTCAGGACATCCAGAGCAGTCATCCGGATCCGGTCGGCCGCAGATCTGGATCAGACCAAACCAAGTTGCTCAGAGGAAACAGAAGATCATTCAGTTTCTTTATTCAAGTGTAATACCACTGATAAGCACTAGAGGGTTCTCCATTAGATAAATCACTTCTTTCTGCAGAGTATTCTGCACCTTTTGGTTGAGTTGGCGCACGTTAAGCTCCTTGACCTTCTTCTCCAGAGTTGCCAGGTCTGCTCTGCCGCTGCACATGCTCAGTTTGCGCTTAGTCTCCTGTCTGGTGTCCATGGAGTCCTCCACAGCTTTAATGGAGTTTCTCACCCGCTTTTCGTCTGACATGAAGGTTTTGTGAAGCTTCTGGATCTCCTGCAGCATCTCTGCAACAGAGATGATTATTTCTTATTAAAATTAAAAAATATATATATTTTAAGGTTTTGCTTTAAATCAGTAAATTCGATATCAAGTCAGAAAAACAGGTGTTCTGATTGGTTGAACTAAAGTTTGTTTCTGGCGTTCAGATAAAGCCAATCTTCATGTCTCACCTTCCACTGGCTGAGTTTCTTTCTTGTTTGGATCCTTGGTGAGTTTATCCTTCAGGTTTTTCAGCATCTTCTGAAACTCCACGTTAATATTATTGATTTCATTGTTAAGGAGGACAGATGGGTCGATCAGAATTATGTTGGTGTCAACAGCATCTTTCAGCTTCCTGCAAAGAGAAGTCCTTCAAAATCATTGGTTTCTGCAAACATTTGCCTTTAACGACCAGGAGCCAGATTATCTTTGATTCAACAAAATGTAAAATATGGATCTCACCTAATCTTCATGTAGAGTTTCTCTACCTTCTCCATCTTTGGCAGAGAGAAACCAGTCATGTTACCTACGCTGTCCAGCCTGGAGTGCATCTCCAGCATCCGCTGCCAGTACTGACTGTGAGTGGGATGCTGGGTGTTGCCGTGGAGAGGGATGAAGGTCCTCATCCTTTGGGCAGCTCGCTGGACGTCAGTGATGTTTTCGGTCCACAGAACCATGCATTCGTGGCATTTCTCGCAGGCAGGAAACTCTGAGCTGTAGCCTGGAGCGCACGCGTCACAGAGGATCCCGCTGACACCAGTCCGACAGATGCACTCACCGGTTTCAGGGTCACACGACGGGCGCTGCGTTCCCTCAAGGTTACAGTCACAAGCTAAGAACAAGAAGTGATGCAATTAGGCAAAACAAGCCTTAAATGAATGAAATAGACAAAGCATGAAAAGATTGCAGCCATAAAACAATCTTTGTCATTTTGGGGGAGCTGCAGTAAACAGCACCATTTTGAGTCCTGACTTAAAGGAGCCAGCACTTCCTGTGGATTGACATTTGATGACCTCTGGAAACTTTTACTAATATCTGTAAAATGATAGTGGCACAAAATAATATTTTTGCTCCACAAAGGTTTGACAACAATTTTGTTTGATTTGTAGAAGGAATTCCTGAATTCTGGCTACGTTTTAAGATGACAGTAAGCTGACTTTGTCATGCAGCTGCTAAAATGTTTACTTACTTTGTTTGAACGTTGATGGTTCCAATATTTACAGAAAAGAAAGATTTGGACTAAATCCGAATGAAGATTAACATCAAGGCCACCTTTTATGGTTGTTATTTTCCCTCATGAAGCTAAAGTTAGTTAAATTGTTATTTTGGCATCATGAAACCTCACTTAAAAACACAATATTGAGGTTGAGTTTAGGAATAAAGTCATTGACTCAAAGTGATTTAAATAAAGCAGGAGACAGTCTCTGACAGATTAAGTGGTTCACTCACAGAAGCACTGCAGGTTTGGATCCCCAAAATGGTTTTCTCCACATTTGTCACACTGTCTTCCTCCAAACTCAGGACGACAGGGACACTGTCCCGACACCTGGACACATCACAACTTCAGCCAGTGGACTTTTCAAACAATCATCTGCTGCTGCATGGACCCTGGCTGACTTCTGACCTCTTCATTGTCAGCCTGAGGAAGAACTGATCCCCTCTCACCTTGTCACAGACGTTGGAGACGGAGTTAGCCGGGTCGCAGCTGCAGGGCTGACAGCCCGACGTTCCGTCCAGGTTCCAGAACCCGTCCTCGCATTCATCACAGAGATCTCCCACCACCCCCGTCCTGCAGGGGCACTGTCCTGTCCTCCTGTCGCAGAAGCAGGGGCTCTCTAGGGGACATAGAGTCGCCTTGGTCCCCCGGCGGTCACAGGAGCATTCTGGGAAACATCACCGTACATATACCAGCAACCATGTGACTCATCTGTGACCATGTGAACCTGTCGCAACCATGTGACACCTTCCTCACTGGCCGCTTTACCTTTACAGTTGTGTTGCAGGGCGTTGCCATAGTAACCAGGCTTGCAGAACTGGCACTGCGGACCTGTCGTGTAGTGAAGGCAGCGGAGACACTCTCCGGTTGTGCCGTCGCAGGCGTCGCTGTCGTCCGGGTCGATGTTGTTGTTGCAGGAGCACGCTCTGCAGGCGGCACCTGGCAACCTCAGGTCGCCATAGAAACCCGGACTGCACCGGTCACATCGTTCACCTGAGAGGTCGAAGGTCAGAGGATCGGTCAGCGGTCAGGTGGACTTTAATATTTGATTTATTTTTTCATCGTGGGGTCTGGGAGTTTTTATGAGAATTTAACTTTCTATTTCATTCAGTTCAAGAAAAATCTCTGCTCCTATGCTTACTTCTGATTCCCTGGATTTTAACAGCAAACTAATAGCAACTAAGCTTTGGCTACACACCTGCAGACCAGGTGATCCGCACAGACAGCTCCTACCTGCGTGCCCCTCCCTGCAGGAGCAGCTCACACTGACGGACTGCGGATTGTATCGACAGGAAGAGGCAAAGAACCGTCCGCTGCTCAGGATATCAGGGCACAGGCAGGGCTGACAGGGTTGCCTGGATACCGGGTTACCGTAGTAACCCTCCACACACCTACAGCAGCCACACATAGGTGGGTCAGAACCACATGACACCATCAAGAAGTGAGGTGATCTTACCTGAGGGGATAAAATAGCTGACGAAACGAGTTTAATAAAAGAAAGGCTGAATATTCTGTAATCGGATCCAGAACCTTCAGTCCGACCTGTCACAATGCGGCCCACTGCTGTGCTCCCTGCAGTCCACACACTCTCCGGTCCGCCCATCGCAGGTTTCCGACAGGCCGTTGCACTCACAGGGCTGACACAGCGGGAACCCCCAGAATCCAGACTCGCATCGATCGCAGCGTCGACCCGATACCCGGGGGCGACACGCACACTGACCTCCGCTCAGATCGCACGCCTCCGACAGAGAGCCTTGAGAGTCGCACTCGCATCCTGCAACAGCGTGAAGGATTCGCTGTAAGACGAAGCGCTCCTACGGCAGGGCTCTGACTGATGAAGAACTTTCTTCTTACGTTTACAGCCTTCAGGTCCAAACCCAAAGGTCAGAGGTGCGCAAGTGTCACAGCAACGTCCGATCACGCTGGGCTTACATTCACATGACCCGCCCAGCATACTGCACCTCGATCCAAGAGAACCGATGACGTTACACCTGCAGGCTGAAACCAGGAAGCACACAACATCAAGCCAGGTTCAGGTGAGACTGTGTCTGACAGACGTCAGCTGCTTCCAGAGACACATTAGTGCTAAAACTTGACCACATAAAATTTTGGAGACATTCAATTTGTAAATTAGGCATATTACGTTTATATTTATTGTCTGTAACAAACCTTATTTTATCATCCGATTGTAAATAAATTCAGGCAGCAAGAGAATAAGTAGTTTCTACAAAGAACCAGCAGTTTATGACGATGAAGATAATCTACAGACCACAAGGTTGAGTTCTTCATTTGAGATTATAAAGCTTTTTATCTGAACCTGCACTTTGACACAGTGAGAAACTGGACCCAGAACTTCCAGCAGGTGGCAGTAAAACCCATAAATACATTTGTGTAAATTGTGACTGTAGTGCAGAAAGGTGGACCTTGGACCGGTTTGATTGGATGTTTTCTACAATTCAATAAAAAAAACAAAAAAAAAACAATATTACTGTAACTAATTTTTAAGTTACAGCAATCAACATCGTTATTGTCGTGGCTGATGGCTGTGGACAGGAAGGATCTCCTGTAGAGGTCTGATTAATGTTTATGTTATTAAAACATTTATAATTGCCTGGGGGTTTGCAGTAAACAGCTCACCCACAGCTCCGTTGTGGATGCGCGCTGACAGACTCTTGATCAGTCCTTCGCAGATTTTTGGAAGTGACTCCTGAGAACCGAGATACACGTCCAATCCGACGCAGCGAGAGTGACTGAAAGAGTCGAAGTCACTCTGGGAACAGAAGTCTTCTTGGACTGAATAGAAACTCTGAACCAGTCCCATCTAAAAAAAAAAAAAAATTTAAAAAAAAAGTTGACAGAAAAAACAACACCGAGCTTCATTTGAATCAAACAGGCTTGTTTTCTTTTTTACCTTTGAGGTGAAGATGATCTGGGTAATAATAAAATAATGTGATGACTATTCTCTTTGGTCTCATTAGGCCTGGTTTACAGGATTCCTGTTCTTTTTCTATTTAAAACATTCAGACTTTTCAGGAACCAGAGTGGGAACCAAAGTTAACAACCTTAAGGTTTTAGAAAATAAAAAAAAAATCTTATTGCTCTTATTACTTTAGCTTACGGTTACTGAAAAGTTTTGATTGTTTTCCATATTTCTACACCACTTTATTTATCAATGCTGCAGCTACTTTAATCCTTTATGCTCAGACTTTGCTGTTCCTAAAGCGACTCTTTAAATACTTCCCTCTAGCTGTGCAGAAATGAGTTTTTAGATCATGACTTCCTCACCGAGTCGACCAGCAGAGGAGCGTTGTCTGATCTCTGCTGCCTGTCAAAGAAAATCTCCACGGAGTATCGACCTCTGGCGTTCAGACACACTCGGGAATCCAGAATACCTAATCTGGGAAAAAAACAAGCGTGTAACATAAAAACAGCAGTAGATAAAATGTCATGGCAAACGGTTGATGTCATATTCATAAAAGTTATCTTGTGTTAGAAAGTATGGCACCTAGTGGACACCAAGGAAATGAGATAACAGGCTGAGAAGCAATGCAGCGCTCACATCACTTTTATATGTGTGCTACAATCAACAATAAAGTTTCTGCCATGTTCAAACTAAGGTCATCTACTTACAAGTGCCAGAACAGTCTACAGAATATTTTTGCTAGAGTCTTGGAGTTTATTAAGATGTTTTTTGGTGAATCTTAGATGGGATTTTGTGTCCGTTTAGGTCAGGAACTCTCCTATTTTGGCCCAGTTTCTTCTTATTGTTGAATCACGAACTTTATCTGATGTTGTTTTGGGATCATTTATGACTTTCTCGATGAGTCACCAATGCATAATTAATGATATTACGATTCTCATGTATTCCTATTAGATTTGCTTTTGTCTGCTTTGTGTTACCAGACAAGTTCTATTTAACTGGTTTCTACTGGTCTGAGCCAAGTTTGGCTAATAAAATTTAAAAGAAATGTGGTCAATTGCTGTAAAAATTATTCTTTAACAATCACATTTTTCTGTACTTTTGTCATCCCAAAGTAAAAACTGAGTTGCTTCAGAGACACTGCATCACTTTTTTGGGGGAAAAATCATAAAAGACCTGAAGAGAAACACTCAGCGGAGTCAGCCAGTCGCTGTGGAGGACGTTAAACTGGAGCAACTGTTTTCACTTTGCTACGTTTTAATGTAACGCTCTGCAGAAAGTGGTCAGCAGAAGAGTCAAGTGGACTTCCAAGGTGAATTACCTGTCGCTCATGAAGACTGACTCACCTGGAGCTTCTGGGGAGGATCAGTGTCAGACTTCCTGTTGGAGGGTCGTCACTGCAGCCTCCGTCGCCCGGTGACAGCGTGATGACGTTCACTCTCGCCACCCAATCGGAGTCAGACTGCAGAGGGAGATGACCGGAGTTTAATCCGGGGAGAAAAACGTCCTGGATTAAACTCCAACACGATGCCTCATTTCTCGCTTCAAAATGTGAGCAATAATTATTTTTTTGATGTTACAGAGTTGACATCTGAATGGAAAAACTCAAGATCAATGTCTCACATTGATCATGGTTATGTCTGTTTTTTTGTTTTTTTTTGTCATATATTGAAATAAAAATAAATAAATAAAATCTGTAAAGCTGACTATTTTTAAGAGTTCATAAACAAGACCCTGAAGTTCTCCTCGCCTCAGATTCATAGCGGATCACCAGCTGGTACTCCATCGATGTTGGCAGGTTGTCCACGGTGAATCTAAGCCCCGCCCCCTCTGTCACTCTGACCAATCCCAGACCAGTTCCTGACTGCTCAGGTGAACCCTGGTGGGGAAGGATCTGCAGGGGCCCCTGGTTCGGAGGGCTGGTGTTCTGCTGCAGGACCAACAGAAAACAGGGGAAACCAATGAAAGA